ATTGAATAAGATGGAATTCAAGAGGGATAAATGCAAAGTCTTACACTTGGGCATGAGAAAGTCAACTTCGCAAGTACATGTTAGGAGGGACCTGCTTAGGCAGCCGTGGTTCTGAAAAAAACCTAGGGGGTTTTAGTGACTTATAAGCCCCAGATGAGTCAGCAGTAGAATGTGGCAGCCAAAAAGTTCATTTGATTTGGGGCTGAATTAAGAAGATGCAGCTTCCAGGAATAGGGAAGTGATAACAAAAATGATTGTTAAATTTTCAATGTGGGCACTTACATCACAAAAATCAGCAAATGCTACATGTTGGGGCTTGGTTTTTTTCCTTTATTGATGCGTAGACTTGGAAAGTGATGGAGAAAATGGTAATAAAACTTATGCTTATAAGTTATGGTTAAATTACTAATCAAATTAATTATAAACAATTAAGTTATTTATGACCATTATAGTTTATAGTGTAGCATAATTAAACTTAAAAGTATGCTTCTCACGCATTTCCCTCCCCTCCAGAGAGCTAGTTGTTAAACATTTACCAGCATACCCCTGTGATAGCCCCACTGAATGCTGCTGTTGTCAGACCACATCTGATGCATTATGTTCAATTCTGGGTACCATGGTTTGTGGAGAATAATAATATCATTCTTATCATTCTTCACATTTGCTGTATATGAAGCAGTGCTTGCTATATGCCTGGCACGTTGTAAGTGCTTTACAATTATTATTCTCTTTTGATCCTCACAGTCCTGTGAGGTAGGTGCTATAATTATCCCCATTTTACAGATGAGGAAACTGAGGCAAACAGTGACTTGCCCAGGGTTACACAGCTAGTATGTGTCTGAGGCCAGGTTTGAATTCAGGTCTTTCTGATTTCCAGCCTGGGGCCCTGTCCACTTGGCCACCTAACTGCCCCAGAGCAGCATGACCACAGTGGTGAAAGGACTGAAATTTGTGTCTTATGAGAATAGCATCAAGAACTGGCAAGTTTAGCCTAGAGAAGAGAAGATTTGGAAGGGATCTGCTCAGGGCCTCGAAGGACTCGAGGGGCTGACACGCAGAAGCCAGCTCACACTGGCTCTAGAGGGTAGAACCAGGCTCCACGTGGGAGCTGCCAAAAGGCCAAGTGAGGCTGGATTTGGGGGGGGGGTGGCCTACAGGGAGAGCTGTCCAGCGAGGGAATGGCTGCTGGAAAGCATGGGGGCTTCTTCCCACCTGATTTCTTCAGGCAGTGTCTATGTGGCTGTTGCTCGACGTGTTATAATGGGAATTCATGTTGTATATAGATTGAACTTAATGGCTCCTTCCAGCTCTCAGAATCTGTAATTCTGTGATTTGCATCTGTTGGGCCAAGCTGTTTCAAATTGCAAAGCGTATAAAATAGCACGGAGCTGATTTTCTCACATGAGTATTGAATGAGATCACGTATGTGGAAATGCTTTAGAAGATGTCAGCTAGAATCCGGGGGAGCCAAATTGGGCTGAGCAAACATGGACCGGTTGAAAGAGTGATCAACAGACTGGAGACAGAGGGACCAGGAGAGAATATGTGGGAGGGGGGTAATCCCAGGAATGGTCTAGAATAACGACAACAGCTGATATTCCTGTAGTACCTGGAGGTTTCCGAAGGACTTTAGGAGAACTGATGGACTCAGAATGCAGATTGAAGCCTATTTTTTATTCTTTCTCATGGTTTTATTTCTTTATCTGTTTCTTCTTCCATAACTGTGATGAATGTGGAAATATGTTTTACGTGACAGCATATGTATAAACTATATCAAACTGTCTACCTTTTTCAGAAGAGGGGAGGGGAGGGAGGGAGAAAGAAAAATTAGGAACTCAAAATCTTGTAAAAATGAATGACAAAAATTTTTCTTAATATATAACTGGGGGAAAAATAAGATAGTATTCAAACAAAGGATTTTATGTTCCTTATCTTGTTTGATTCCAATCAGTTATAGGATTTAGAAAAGGAAGGGCCCTCCTTCATTTTACAGATGAGAGCCAGAGAGGTGAAGGCTGAAGTCACACAGAAAATGAGTGACAGAGAGATTGGAACCCAGGTCCTTTGACACCAATCCAGCATTTTGCCCACTGCACCGACCCTCCCCACCATGGAGCAAGGGGTAGGGGCACAGGGTTTAGTGAAGAGAATGCTGGACAGGGAGTTAGAAGGCCTGGGTTCAAATCCTGCCTTAGATACTTGCTTGCTGGGTGCTCTTGGGTAAGTCTCTCTCAGGCCTAGTCTTCTTATCCTTAAAATGGAGAAGATAATACCACTTACTTCACGCAGCTGTTGATCAGATGAAATGAGGAAAACATACGTGAAATGCTTTGCATACCTTAAAATGCTATCTAAATCTTAGCTCTTTTTGATAATAATTCAATTCAACCAACAAGTGGTTCCTGCCTACAGAGCACTGTGCTGGGCGTTGAAGGGAATATAAAGTACTTGTCCCTAAAGAGAAAACAGTCTTCTGTGCTAATGATCCCCATGTCTATAGTGCTTAAAGGTTTAGAAAGCAGTTCACAGTTAGGCACCTACGAGGTACATAGTACAAAGGTGATTGTACCCATCTTGCAGATGGGGAAACTGGAGCCCAGAGAGGTGTTATCTGCTACCCAACCCCCAGAGGTAGGAAAAGAGAAGCTGGTCTATTTCTTGTCTTGTTCCGGGCATTGGGAGTCCCTGGCTGGGCATTGTGCCCCACCCGCAGCCCCCAGGGGTGATAGGTGACCTAATGCCCACCCAGCACCCGTCTCTCCTCTCCTTCAGGGCACTCCTGCGGCCTGTGTTTTGAGCTCTCGTCCATTAGAGGGCAGCACCCGCCAATGTCAGAGATGGGAAGCCAGCTGAGGGCTTGGTCACTAAGGCCATATCAGAAAAATCAATCAACCACCAAGAAGAAAGGGATGATGTCCTGAGCCCTTGGAGCCCTTGGGAGGAGCTGGCTTCGGGATGACCTCCTTGGGCGCCCTTTGGAAAGGAGGTGTCCCTGCGTCATAGGTGGAGGAGAGGTGGGGAGAGCGTTTCTGAAATGCCTTGGAGACAGAGCTAAGAAGATGGCCCGGGAATCTGGACTCCCAGTCCTAAGCATTGGGCCCCGAGAGCTCAGTCTGGCCCAACACCCTCGTTCTGATAGACGTCTGAACCGAGACCCAGGGAGGCTAGAGCTGCCCAAGGTCCAGCAGGCAGTCACTGTCTGAGGGGGGATTTGAACCCAGATCTCCTCGCTCCAGAGCCCAGCATTCTTTCCACTGTAGTAAAGTGCATCCCCTCCCTGGGCCTCGGGGGTTGGACTGGATGACCCTCAAGGTCCCTTCTGGCTCCAGAGGTAGGACGTCATGATTCCTTACAGGCCGTGCTGCATTTGTCCTCACTGTTTGATGTGGGCTTCCCCCATGCCTTTGGAGTAGGGGCCTGGGAAGCCTGGGGGTGTCCCAGCTTGGGGACACTCATCCGCAGAGTTCCCAAATCCCAGAGCAGAAACATAGTCCAACTTCTCATGTGGCAGTAGAGGAAACTGGCCCAAGGCTGCCCTGGGACTGCGGCAGAGCTGAGACTTGAACCCAGGGCCCCCAGTCAGAGGAAACTGGCCCAAGGCTGCCCTGAGACTGCGGCAGAGCTGAGACTTGAACCCAGGGCCCCCAATTAGAAGGTTAGGGCTTTTTTCTTTTTAATTGCATCCTCCTTCCCACACTCCAACACGTGTTCCAAGGTGGTCCACCCACTGAAGTTCAAGCTCAGAGAGCTGGCTCAGTCTCCTGGCTTGTATGAGTAAAGTAAGGGGACACTGCAGGGGGACCCTGCCCAACTTGGGGAATTGCCCTCTGCTCAAAGGCGTGGAGACAAAGTGCCCCCTTCTGGTTCCCAGCAGCCATTGCGCCCAAATGGACTGATCCGAACAGGAAGCTCAAGCTTGAGTATTCTTGGCTGCTTTGAGGCAAAAGGGCCGTGGACTGTGTCCTCTGCCTCCACCAAGAGAGTTTGGGAATTCCCTGCCTTTCCCAGGATCCTCATCCTTCTTCAACCTTCAGTTACGGTGGATGTCATGGGAAACTGGGGTCTGCCCATAGCTCCAGTAGCCAGAAAATAAAGAACAAGAAGGGTAATCGATCAATCTGCATTTACTAAGCACCTACTGCATGCAAGGCAGTGTGCTAGGGACCCAAAAACAAAGAGGAAACTTCCTGCTGCCTTCAAGAAGCATATGGAGACATATTTGTACATATTTAAGTTTCTGTAGGATATGTGTAAAATAAAATCAAGGAAGGTTGGGGAATGAGGGCACTCCCCACAAGCTGAGGGTGGGGTGAGGAAAGGCTTCTTGTAGAAAATGACCCTTGAGCTGAAGGAAGCAAGACACTCTAAGAAGCAGAGGTGAGGAAGGTGGGCCCTCTAGGCACTAGAAACAGCCAGGGCAAAGGTGCAGAGGTGGGAAATGGAGCGTGTGTGTGTGAGAAACATCAAGAACACCAGTTTGGCTGGACTGGAGAGGAATAATGTAGAACAGAGATAGAAAGGTGGGTTGGAGGGCTTCTCAAGGAGGCTCTGTCGGGGGAATTTCTTGACTCAAGGAGTGACAAGGTCAGGCCTGCACTCTAAGAAGATGGCCCGCAGCAGGATGGAGGATGGACTCGAGGGAGGCCGGGAAGGAGGATCTTGAACTAGGATGGTGCCCCCGGGGGCAGAGAAAAGGGGTCAGAGATGTTGGGATCCTCCTTCACTTTTCAGAAGTGGAAATGGAGGCTGAAAGTGGGGAAATGACTTGGGTGTGGTCACATTTAGCACACAGTAGGTGGCCCATAAGAAGCATGTAACACAGGCCTGTTGACTGTTGACAAGTAAGGAGCAGAGGCAGGATCCGAACCCCTCTCTTTCTGTCACCCCCTACTCAGATATTTCCTTTTCCCCTGGGTCTTTCTCCCCATGCACCTTCCTGGCCTCCGCCTCCTGGAGCAGCTCAAGTCACTTGGGGCTCTGGGGCAGCTGCGCAGTGCCGGAGTGGGGGTTCCCGTATGTCAACAACTCAGCTTCCTGGAGACCAAAAAAACCACAAGCCCAGAGAGCGAGAGGCATGAGAAAGAGACTGAGGCAGAGAGAGTGAGCAAGCAACTAGAGAAAAAGAGGAAGAGTGAGGCAGAGAGAGTGAAGGAGAGGAAGGAAGGGAAGGGCCCATCGCCCTCAGGATGGTTCATCTTTCCGGCCGGTGTGGATGACTGAGCTGGGACCAGACATGCCGCTTCTCATGGCCGTCATTGGCTGCCTGACGGCTGCTATCTCAGGTACCCAATTCTCCCGGGTTTTCTCTCCCTTTGCGCCCATCGCCTCTTTCTCCAAAGCTGTGTGTGCCCCTGCTCGTGACTCTCAGAGGATAAGATGATGGGGTTGGTTTGTCGGGCGTCCTAGGACAGGAGCCACCTTAGACAGTCACAGCGCAGCCTGTCCTCTGCCCCTCTGTGAGGGACCTGGGGAGAAGGGAGGCTTCGAAGCTCCGTGTGTGGCTAACTTCCCTCTTTAGCGGGTTTTGTATCTTCTCTTGGGAAATGACATTCTACTCCAGGGAGAAGGAAGGCTGGGCAGAGTCTCTTTAGCAAAGTCCTAATGGGAGCTGAACCAGTGGGGAGGTGCCAGATCAGCCACGGGCTGGCAGACACCCCGTCCCCACTGCTGACCCTCAACAACTTAGCACCAAGGGGCCACCTGCTCACGGCAAGGGCCAGGGACTCCCCCAGGATGTCTGAGACCCAAGGCGGACTTAGGGAAGAGGAAGAGACAAAAAAATGACTTTCCCTTACCCTGCCCCTCTTACAACTATCTCCAGTCTGAACTTAACCTGGCCACCTAGGGACCTAGAAGGGAATGATAATTTATCTTTAGGTATGGAAAAGATTCATTCGCCTGCCCCAGGAGGATGGCTGCCCTTGCTTTGATTCTTCTTGGGGGCCAGATCGGTTGCCCTAATAAAGAAACATTTCAGACAACACAAGTTTTCTAGGATGGGCTCCATCACCGTCCCCGAGCTGAAACAGGCAGATGAAACCTTGCTCTCTCATCCCTCAAAACCTCCCAGTCCCTTACCCTTGTCCTGCCCCCTTTCCATGGGAGGAAGCTCCTTGCCTATTATCATTATTATTATTATTATTATTACTATTATTATTAGGCCTAGCTATACCGAAGGTGAGAGGAAGGCAATGCAAGACAGCTGAAAGAAGTGAAATGTTGAAAAAAGGCAAGGGAGAGAGAAACCTGGGAGAGGAAACAGCGGGGTGCCGGGAGCTTCCATCAGCTGGCCTGACCAGGGAGGGCAGCATGGACCCTGAGGCTCAGAGCTGCGAGGGGCCCGCCAATACTAGTAACAGCAAATAGCAATAGTAGTAAAAATGCTAACAACAACAACCCCCTTGAAGGTTTACACAATTCTTTGTACCTTATCTGAGAGTATTTATATTATCTTTTTTGTTACAGCATTTGTTCTCTTTATCTTTCTTCTCCATGTATATGTTCATATATGTATCTCTTGCCTCCCATGTTGGAACAGAAGCTTCTTGAGGGCAGGGACTGTTTCAGTTTTGTCTTTGCATCCTAGCTTATAGCACAGACCTGGCCCAGGGTAGGCGCCTAAGAAATACTTGGTAACTGATTGACTGACCCTAGTGGTCATCTCTAGCCTAATGGTGCTCACCCTTTCCATGCATGAGGACCTCTTTTTAATTTCGAAAAATTTCATGAGCCCCCACTGAATGTTAGGTGTACTTTTAGTGCCTGCCGATAGAGAAAATATGAAAGGACAAAAGGTGAAGGGTCTGTCTGATTATAGATAGGCTGTGGACTATGGCTGGCTGTAGGTTGGGAAGCCTGGTCCCCCCTAAATCCATCATTTTCGGGGCTGTTAATGAGGTTCGGGAGAGCCTGAGCCACACAGGGCCTAAATTACAAGGATGGGGTCTAAAATTCTCTGGCTGTAAGATCCAGGTTTCTCTTTGCTCCTCCTAGATGGAGGAGATGATGGAGGGCCTCGGGGAGAGGAGGCCTCCAACATGGAGAGGCAGCATGGCATGGGGGCCCAGCACAGAGTCAAAAGCCTTGGGTTGGAATCCTGGCCTTGCCACTTCTTTGGCTCGTGACCTTCGGTCAGCTCCTCCATTTCTCTGCCTCAAGTTCTTCCTCTATAAAATGGAGTCAAGAGGTTCTCCAGACCCTTCTAGCATGTGAGGGGATTTTTCCTGCCTGAGCCCTAGGATCACAGGGGTACTGAGAGGCAGATATCAGAGCCAGGACACTGAGCCGGTAAGACCTGGGGCCTCTCCAGTTACTGCTGGTTCTGCCTGGCCCCTCCTGCTCACTGCTTCTCCCACAGTACAAGACAAAAGCCTTGGAGATATTCTAAGACAGTCCCTCTGGGCCCCGGCTTTAAGCGATAGCTTAATGGATTTGGTGACCCTTGAGGAAGTGTCAGAGAGAAAGAGTTTGTTCTTAGGAGGGACCAATATTCATAGCAGGATGGAGGCAGATAGGGCAGATCCGATTTGCAGGCCTGGGGTTTGTTTTCGCCAAATATGTGTCTTCACTTTGGGTGGGAGAGGGATGGAGGGTTCTGAGTGAGAAGAGAAAATGAAAGGTGTCCTGTGAGAGGAGCCAATTGTGTGTGTGTGTGTGTGTGTGTGTGTGTGTGTTGTGTGTGTACGCCTGTGTAACAAGGTTGGGGTAGAAGCATCCCCAGCATGTGTCCATGGGCAGCAGGGACAGAGAGGCACCAGCTGGAGAGGAATGGGGAATCCAGGCTTCTCTGTGGGAGCCGGGTCTGAAGCCCCTCCAGTGTATACAAGTTACAGAAAACAAAACTAAAAGAGAAAACAGCCCCTGGCCATTCCATGACATATTAGGAAGAAGAAACTTCCGTGATAAAATGCCGTCCAGGCTCTCTAATACAGGCTGATCAGCCCCCTTGCTGGGTTAGGGGGCATAGCAGGCCAAGCCAAACTGGTCCAATCTAATGAGCATTTATTAGGACCCACTGAGGCCCTAGGCCTTGCAGCTGCTGTTCATACACTCTATCTCCCACCTCGGCCTTTGCAGTCTGCTCCCCATGCCTGGAGGGTTTTCCATACTCCCCCAAATCTCTTGGAATCTGTGGCTCCATTCCACTTCCCCCAGGAAGACTTCCAGGCATAAACGTTCGCCTGTTGCCCCATCCCCTCTGTACTGAAATAACTTTCTATTTCCATGATATATATAGATACAGATATAGATATTTACTCAGTTATTTGTTTGTTTGCTTGTTTATTTAGTTAGTTAGTTAGCTGTTTAGTTATTTATTTATTTATTCATCTATTTGTGTGTTGCTTCCCCAACATCCACCCACCCAGTTGACTGTAAGCCCTTGAAGGCCCGGATTCTTCTGCCTTTGGGGCCTAGGGCATAATAGGCACTCAGTAAAGGCATGTTGTATCGAGTTGAGTAGTACCATTTGTAACCAAGCCCTCGGATGCCTGACCTCGGTCTTGGCTAGCTCTTTAAGAAGCTGTCATCTGCCTTCTGTCCTCCATTACTCTACTCTCCTCCAACCATTCACTCCTCATCTTCCCACTCAACGGGCCTTGGCCCCCAGAGGACATTTCTCTTTCCTGCCTGGACTCATATGGTCTCCATTCTGAATTTGTATTTTTACCCTGAAGGATCGAGCTCTCTTATGCATCTCTGTGTCCCGGGTACTACTCACCTCCTGGCCTTGTTTAGTAGACACTCAAAATGAGTCGGTTGAATTTAAATTTTCAAATGGGGCTGGAGTGAGAATTGGCCATAGCTGAGTGATGAGGAAGTACTAAGAAGGAGTGACAGAGGCTTCCCTCAGAGGAGGCCCACAGGCGAATGTATGTCTGATACTGGGACTACCCAGGACTAATTTGTCTCCTTAGCTACTTACGGGACCGAGCTAAACCACTCACCCTCTCCGAGACTCAGTTTCCTCACCTGTAAAGTGGAGAGGAGGTGATAATATTTGCCCTCCTTACCTTGTAAGGCTGTTGTAAGGAAAGTGTTTTGTAAGCCTCGAGGTGATATAGAAATAGGTGTTGTTAGTATTAACGGTACCTCAGTTTCTCTGACAACTGGGGAGAAAATATAGCCTCTTTCTTCCTGGCTAGAGCCGGGCTGGGGTTAACACCGGCAGACAGGAGGACTGTGGAGGACTTCACAGATATGTTGCTATGCTAATAAAGCAACCTTGAGTGATGAATGGCAAAAATAATCATTAACGAGGTTGGTGATTGGGACTTGTTGGGTAAGAAGTATTTGGTGCTGATTTTGCTATGTGGAATAAAACCTTCTGGCATTTCCTTTACAGTCTCTCCTACTGGCTCCTATGTAAGATTATCACCCTTCCCCCAACTTTGCATATGAAGAAACTGAGGCTCAGAGAGGTTAGGGGAGTAGCCTGAGCTCACTTGGTTAGTTTAGGGCTCTGTCAGGTAGAATTCGAAGCCTGAGCTTCAGCCCACTCGGTGCCATCTGCCTGGAGATTCCCCCAGGTTTGTAACTGTCCTGATTGAATGCTGAGCCCAGAAAGCTGCTAGGCCTTTGCCTGGGGGCCCGTGGGGGGCTCCGCATTGCCTAGTGGGTATCTGAAGTGACCGGGAAGGGAACAGCAGTAGCTTTGTCACCCCTGAAACTCAGCCTTATGACCAGGCACCCCCCGGAGCTTGCTGGCCCTGAGGACCTTGCGTGAGCCAGTGGTTAAATCCAGGTTCAGTTGGGGAGAAAGGCGAGGGTAAGAGCATCTATCTCCATACTTGACACAGAGTTGGGCGTCAAGAAAGATTCCATCAGAACACTGTGCGCAGTGACGGCACCATGGTGTGATGACCCACTTTGTCAGACTTAGCTCTCATGAGCAATGCAGCGGTCTAAGATAGCTCCAAAAGACTCATGATGGAAAACACTGTCCACATCGACAAAGAACTATGGAGTCTGAGTGCAGATCGAAGCAGACTATTTTCACCTTTTGTTTTGTTTTGTTTTTTCTTTCTCTTGGTTTTCCCCTTTTGTTCTGGTTCTTCTTTCACAACATGACTAATGTGGAAATATGTTTAATATGATCATACATGTATAGCCTACACCAGATTGCATGCCATCTCGTGGAGGGGGGAGTGGAGAGGGGGGGCAGAATTTAGAACTCAAAATTTCGTAAAAGCAGTGTTGAAAACGAAAAATTCATTCATTCATTCATGGAAAAAAAAAAAGAAATATCCCATCAATGGAATTAAAGTTACCTTGTCCCCACTCC